TGGGAGCCAGAGAACTTGAATGTAATAAAGGGGGCTGTGTGATTTCTTTTTTTCGGCTTCTCGATAACCAGCGTCAGGGACCAGGAGCACAGTCTGTGCCTGGTTGCGGAGTCTAACTTCAGTGTTAACCACCAGTTTGGGGGGAGCATCTGCTCTCCCTTTCGCAGCCTGCCCGGACCTTGGCATTTCCCCGGGCCACACTAGCCAGGAGAAATACCCCAGGATTAGAAAACCCGGTTTACGACGATCCGATCCAGGAGCCCGATCCATGTAGCGTCACAAAGAGACGGCCAAGGGGTGACTGGATCCCTGTCTATAGATCTAACGTAGACAATATTTTTACTTCAAGGTCCCAGAGACACAGACAAGGTTTTCATCTCAAGGCCAAAAGACCAACAACATCAAGACACTTGATAGAATTAGAATTTAAGGGTTGGAAGGGACCTCAGGAGGTATCTAGTCCAACCCCCTGCTCAAAGCAGGACCAATCCCCAGACACATTTTTGCCCCAAATCCCTAAATGGCCCCCTCAAGGATTGAACTCACAACCCTGGGTTTAGCAGGCCAATGCTTGATCACGGCCTTGGATAGGCCAGGCTAGCAGAGGAAGGTCTAACACCATCCAACGGCTGGAAGATGAAGCTAGACCAATTCAGACGGGAAAGAACGTGCAATTTTTTTAAGAGTAATTAACGATGACCTCTGGTAAAAAAAAAAATGGATGCCTGATTGCCTGTCTGAACCTGTCTAGCTTCAATATCCGGCCGTCGGCTTTTGTTAGACGGAAGAGTCTAAATCAAATCTCCGTTCCCCCTTGTAGACCGGGTCAAATCACCCCTTCGCCTTCTCTCTGTGAAGCTAAACCGATCTCTCAATCAAAGCCACATTTTCAAATCTTTGAATCGTTCCAGTAGCTCTTCTCTGAACCCTCCCCGGTTTATCACCAACGTCAGACGCGCCGGTGGCCACCCTCCTGGCTGGTCTACGGGCACAGGTTCTTTGTCTCCTGGGCCTCTCGGACCAGTTAAACCGGTCTATGCAAACGTCCCCAGACTCGTTGGGTGCCTCGGGGATTTGCGTTAATTACTTCTCCGGTGTTTCTTCCTTCTGCTCCGAGTACAGGAAACACAACCTGTAGCCCACGAAGAGTCTCGGACGATTTATAAAGTCGATACAATTGGCGTGGAGTATTCCATCGTTCTCCAAAGCGTCACATCTACCATACCTGACTTTCACTTCACAGAAGTGACTAGCTATTAAGAACGGCCGGACTCGGTCAGACCAAAGGTCCATCTAGCCCAGGGTGCTGTCTTCCGACACCGGCCAATGCCAGGTGCCCCAGAGGGAATGAACAGAACAGGGAATCATCAAGTGATCCATCCCGTCGCTCATTCCCAGCTTCTGGCAAACAGAGGCTAGGGACACCATCCCTGCCCATCCTGGCTAATAGCCATTGATGTCCTCCATGAACTTCTCTAGTTCTTTTTTGAACCCTGTTCTCATCTTGGCCTTCACAACATCCTCAGGCGAGGAGTTCCCTAGGTTGACTGTGCGTTGTGTGACGAGATACTTCCTTGTGTTTGTTTTAAACCTGCTGCCTATTAATTTCATTGGGTGACCCCTAGTTCTTGTGTTATGAGGAGTAAATAACACTTCCTTGTTTACTTTCTCCACACCCGTCATGATTTTATAAACCTCTGTACTATCCCCCCTTTGCCGTCTCTTTTCCAAGCTGAAAAGTCCCAGTCTGATTAATCTCTCCTCACACAGCAGCCGTTCCAGATCCCGAATCATTTTTGTTGCCCTTTTTTGAACCTTTTCCAATCCCAATCGATCTTTTTGGAGACGGGGCGGCCACATCTGCACACGGCATTCAAGACGTGGGCATCCCATGGATTGATAGGGCGGCAACAGGATATTTTCTGTCTGATTCGCTCTCCCTCTCTGGACACTGGCGGTGTTTGACAACAGGTGGGACAAACAGCTGCCAGGGAGGGGAGATGAACTTCCACTAGAGGGGATCATGAGGTCCCCCGATGCCCCCTCTGTGCAGCCCCATAGCTCCCCAAATGCCCCCTCTGTGCAGCCCCATAGCTCCCCAGATGTCCCCTCTGTGCAGCCCCATAGCCCCCCATGTCCCCTTCTGTGCAGCCCCATAACCCCCTGATGTCCCCTCTGTGCAGCCCCACAACCCCCCCATGTCTCCCCTGTGCAGCCCCCCAACCCCCCCCCCCCGCCTCCTCTGTGCAGCCCCATAGTCCCCCGATGTCCCCTCTGTGCAGCCCCATAGCCCCCCCGATGTTCCCTTCGTGCAGGCACAGGACAGCCCCCTAGCTCCGCCCCCCCCCCCAAAAAAAACTGCCCCGTGGCGGGAGGGGGGGGGGCAGGGAAAGGAGGCGTGGCCACAAATTAAGCCCAGGTCAGTGGATGCTCCGGTACTGCCCAGCTGCGCCTGCGCCGGCTCCGGTGGGGTGAGAGCGGGAGGCGGGGCGAAGGGGGCGTGGCCGGCTCCCACCGGCTTTAGTCTCGGCTCCTCCGCCTAGCCGGTGCGCCCCGCCCCCCTTGGAACCTTGCAACACGGTGGCGCGGCCGCGGCGGTCCACGTGAGCGGGCGGCCCGGCTGTAACGCTCGGCGGGGGGAGGGATTTGTGGGGTTCATTGATCCTCCCCTCCCCCCCCCTTCTTAAGGGGGTTCTGGATCGCCAGCCCCCGGGAAGGCCGGGGGGGGGGGGAGCAGGCTGGTATTTGGGTATATCGCCCAGAGGGGGATTTCTGAAGGGGGGACAGCGGGGGGGGGGATTTTTTGCCCTGGTTTTCTCGGGGGACCAGCGGAGGCTGATGTGATGCTCGGCCAGGTAAGGGGGGGGAGAGATCAGAGACCAGGCGGGTATATAGGTGTAACGCCTGGCGGGGGCGGGGGAGATCGCCCACCCCCTCTCCCGGGCTGGAGGGGGGGAAGGGAGGAGATGGTGTTTGGAGGCCCCTGATTTCCTGCTGCTATTTGATAGACTTTGACCCTGGCTACACTCGCTCTGGTGGTGGGGGAGGGGGTGACCCTAGACTAGCCCCCATCCCTTCCCCCCACCCCCAGCTGCTGTTGCTTCACCCTTCCCTGGAGTGAGTGTTGGGAGGGGCGGGGGGTCACCTAACTAAAGGGGTAATGCCCCCCTATCCCAGCCATGTCCACTAGATGCCTTCTGCCTGCTTTTGGGGCTGCTGATTGTGGGGTGAGTTGCTGCTGGGGGACAGCGAGGGGGGCATGCGATCTTGGGGGTGATGGAGGTGGGTTCACCCTGGAATGTCTTGGCTCTGCTGGGAGCGAAGATGTTAAAACCCTGGTTGCAAGATTAAAGAGTTCAGCACGCTTGTGTGTGTGTGGGGGGGGGGGGGGGGGGTTTTTTTTGAGGTTTTCTTTTTGGCGGTCGGGGGGGGGGGGGGGGAATAAATTTCTGATCCTCTTAAGGGGTTTGTCTACACTGGGAAGTTAATTCGGATTAAGGGCCATTTAAATCCGCTCTGAAAGTGGATTATCTGCTCTTGCACAGACCAGCCAGTTAACGGGGAAGCAGAATCGGGTCCTATGGAAGGGAGGCCGGGGGGGGGGAGGGTTAATAAGCAGAAATGAAAGTCCGTCAGCTAAGCCTTTAAGCGCCGGAGCTACTCCTGAATCTCTGTGGAGACTCTGGATTGAGAGGGCTTTGTTCCGACCTATCTTCATCCACTTTGCGCCAGTCGCTTCCATGTATGGAGAACCCCTTATTCAAGATGCAAAAAACCGAAGGCAACCTGGTTAAGTGGTTTGACGTGTGAAGTAAGATGTTGATCAGAACAATTTCCCTTTGGAGAATCGTAGGATGGGAAGGGACCTCAAGAGGCCATCTAGTCCAGTCCCCTGCGCTCATGGCAGGGCTAAGTGTTATCTAGACCAGTGGTTTTCAAACCGTGGGTCGCGACCCATTTACTGCAAGGCCAATGGGAGCTGGCGGGGTGTGTGTGTGCCCCAATCCCCTGCCCCAGCCTTCAGCCCTCCCCAAACCCCTCATCTCTGGCCCCACCCCAGAGCCTGCACCCCCAGCCCAGAGCCCTGACCCCCTCCAGCACCCTTGTCCCAGCCCAGAGCCCCCTCCCACACCCTGAGCTCCTCATTCCCAACCCCCAGCCCTGAGCCCCTCCCACACGCATTCCTACTACCGGCCAGGTCTAGAGGCCCAAAGTTATCGCTAAGCCTGCTTCAAGCGTTACGTACGTTTCCTGACGGGCAGGAGAACGTTCATTGGCATCTGTTGTTCTGGGTGGTAGCATCTTCACTCTCCTTTGTGCATGATACGTCTGGTTTAATTTTGCAATATCTGTGGAGACTCTGGATGAAGAGGGCTTCGTTCCGATCTCTCTTCATCCACTTTGTGCCCGGTCTCCCAGGAGGGTCTAGCAGTGGGGAGAGGCCTGTTGATTTGAGGGGGTCACCCCTGGCCTCGGGTGCGTGCTTCTGGGATTGCCTATAGAACAAAGGACCATGGGAGGGCAGAAATGAGGGTCTTCCCGCTGAATGGTGCCCCCCTTAACAAGGCTTACTGCATTGACACCCTACATGACTGCTCTCCCAGACAGAAAAATGAGAAATAAGACTGGGGAAGGGGAATGGGGGGGCACAACCCCTGGCATGTGGGGGAATGGGGGGCCCCTGGCATAGGGATTGACGGAGGACACACAGGGGAGAATAGGGTCCCCTGGTATGGGGGGAGGGGCAGGTGGGGGGCTGGGAAGGGGGCACATGGAGTCTTTGTGAGGGGCAGTTTTGAGCCCAAGCGAGAGATGCAAAGGGAGGGAAAACGCAGCCAGCCCCCCTGCCCCGCACCCCACAGCGCCCCCTGCTGTGAGAGGCCGGGACTGGAGGAGCCGGGAGCTCCCCCCGCAGCCAGCCCCCCTGCCCTGCACCCCACAGCGCCCCCTGCTGCGAGAGACCAGGACTGGAGGAGCCGGGAGCTCCCCCTGCCCTGCACCCACAGCGCCCCCTGGTGGGAGAGGCCGGGACTGGAGGACCTGTACTCCAGGGTAAAAGAGCCTTTTCTAATACCCCTCTTTCTCCTGCAGTGAGCCTCAATGCCGGTGGTGCACCCTGAACCCCCTGACGGGGGCTGGGGCTGGATGGTGGTGGTGGCCGCCTTCTTCCAGTCGGCGCTGGTTTTTGGGGTGATCCGCTCCTTCGGCGTCTTCTTCATGGAGTTTGTGGGGTACTTCGGGGAGCTGTCCGGGCGGGTGTCCTGGATCACCTCCATCGGGATCGCGGTGCAGCAATTTGCTAGTGAGTTTGGTGGTGGTGGGCGGGGGATCCTGACCCTTTTTTTGAGGGTAGGAGGGAGAACCCCACTCCTCACCCAGACTCGGCTGCATCACAGGGTAACGAGGGCCAGCCTGGTGTCTCTCTGCCGCCCCTGCAGGTCCGGTGGGCAGCGCACTCAGCACCCAGTACGGCGCCCGCCCCGTGGTGATGGCCGGGGGCCTCCTCTCGGGGCTGGGCATGCTCCTGGCTTCCTTCGCCACCAGCCTGACCCACCTGTACCTGAGCATCGGGCTGCTCTCAGGTAGGCCCCTCCCCTGCCCCAGTGCCCTCTGGGAGTATCCTGGCTCAAGGCTGGGAGCAAAGTCTTCTGGGTAACGCAGTGCACCATGGGGCCATCCTCACCCAAGTCCAGGAGCAAGGGATTCTGGTGCTGATATCCGGGATTCCAGGCAGGATGTTGTTGGTGGGGTGTTTTCAGAATTTCATTTCATTGCATTTTGCCTTTTCCTGAGTTCAAACAAGGGCTGGTTGAACAACTAGGGACCAACAGATGTAGAGGTTGAAAAAGTTAGACCTTGGTAGCCATAAAAACAGAAGCGTGTCCAAACAAAGCTGGAATTCAGGATATTTCCTTTCATCTGTATGGACCACTACGTTGCTCTGCCGATCTGTAAATTTCGATCTCTGTCTATGCCAATATCTGTTCATCTGTTTGGGTGAATGGGCATTAACCAACACTTACCGACTGGAAACGAATGTAATTCTTCTAAGCCTACCTATGGGAGACCATGAACTCTTCCTGTTCTACTAAATTACTGCTTTAAAATACTTGACCAGTCACTTGATGAGTTATCTTTCGGACAGGACAAATGCCCAACTCTAGGATATATGAGTATTCTTACAGTCATAGAATATCAGGGTTGGAAGAGACCTCAGGAGGTATCTAGTCCAACTCCCTGCTCAAAGCAGGACCAATCCCAACTAAATCATCCCAGCCAGGGCTTTGTCTAGCCGGGCCTTAAAAACCTCTAAGGATGGAGATTCCACCACCTCCCTAGGGAACCCATTCCAGTGCTTCACCACCCTTCTAGGGAAATAGTGTTTCCTAATATCCAACCTAGACCTCCCCCACTGCAACTTGAGACCATTACTCCTTGTTCTGTCAACTGCCACCGCTGAGAACAGCCGAGCTCCATCCTCTTTGGAACCCCCCTTCAGGTAGTTGAAAGCAGCTATCAAATCCCCCCTCACTCTTCTCTTCTGCAGACTAAATAACCCCAGTTCCCTCAGTCTCTCCTCGTAAGTCACGTATTTTCCCAGCCCCCTAATCATTTTCGTTGCCCTCCGCTGGACTCATAATGGTCCGCCCTCTATAACACGGATAGAGAGAGATGCACAGCTGTTTGCCCCCCCCCCAGGTATTAATCACTTACTCTGGTTTATCAATAAACAAGTGATTTTATTAAGTATAAAAAGGAGGATTTAAGTGGATCCAAGTAATAACAGACAGAACAAAGTAAGTCACCAAGCAAAATAAAACAAAACACGCAAGTCTGAGCCTAATACATTAAGAAACTCAATACAGGTAAATCTCACCCTCAGAGATGTTCCACTAAGCTTCTTTCACAGTCTGGATTCCTTCCTAATCTGGTACAATCTTTGTTCGTTCCTGCAGGCATTTTAGGTGAAAAGCAGGAACTTTCTCATGACTGGGACCCCCTTTGTCCTGCTCCACCCGCTTTTATAGCTTTAGCACAAGGTGGGAAGCTTTTGTCTCTCTGGGTCCCCACCCCTCCTAAATGGAAAAGTACCAGGTTTAAGATGGATTCCAGTATCAGGTGACATGGTCACATGTCCTGTGAGGAGACCCCAAGCCTTCATTGTTCCTGGGTTGGCCCCCACCTACACAAGAAGGCTTGCAGGTAAATAAACCATTTACAACCATGGGAGCCATCAAGACTCGACGCCACCATTAATGGCCCACACTTTGCATAATTACGATAGGATCTCAGTTATATTTCATGTTCCTAGTTTCAGATAGAAGACTGATCCAGGCATAGGAATAGGACGAACACGCTCAGTAGATTATAAGCTTTGTAACGATACCTTACAAGAGACCTTTTGCTTGAAGCTTCTTCCAGTTCCATCATCGTCATGCTCATTAGCATATTTCCATCAAACATTATGGAGCGCAAGTTCACAGTTGTTTTTAAGGGAGGTGATACTGGCGGGGGGCCCAGGAAAATCTCCCTCTGCCACAGCCCCGGGGCTGCGGGGTGGGGGTGGAAAGGAGAGAGCAGAGGGCGGGGCCATGGGTGGAGGGGGCAGGGCATTATCTTCAAACGGCCCCCCCCTTCATCTCCCATACCCCCAAAAAAGAGAGCCAACCCTGTATAGACCCTAAGCACACCAAATGTGACCCAAAATGACAACTGGTGCACAGTTATATCTTTGTGCTGGGGTAGAAAATGGGGAAGTGGGGGGATCAGTGGGGTGCAGGAACCATGGGGGAAGGTCTCTGGGGGGGAGGGATGGTAGGGGGTAGGGTTACCATACGTCCGGATTTTCCCGGACATGTCCGGATTTTTGGGATTCAAATCCCCATCCGGGGAGAAATCCCAAAAAGCCGAACATGTCCGG